ATGTCGACAGTTCACTAGTCGATAGGTCTGTCAAGGAAAGATTACAAAATTAATTTTTAGTTTTCTAATTACTGATCGAGTTAGTCACAAAAAGATTAGAATCATATATTTTGCCTATTGTACCATTATATATCAATGCATATTTTTTCTTTAATTAGCTCGATAAAATTGAGAGTCTTGAATATAGAAGCCGGAGCTAGCGATTGAAAATGATTATCATTTTTGCCTGGAAGAAAAAGATGCAATTTCTCGTTTAATGCAGAATATCGGTTTTCCTTTACTATGGCATTAAATCATAACATGCTTTGTTTAACTTTCATGCAGTATTCAGAAACAAGCTTTATCGAAAAGACATATGCTCTCCGATCCCCTTTATTATTATTATCATTTTTCCTATCAAAAGCTCCTTCCCTTTCTCCTTCTCCTTCTCCTTCNCTCCTTCTCCTTCTCCTTCTCCTTCTCTTTCTCCTTCACCCTCTCCTTCCCCTTCTCCTTCTCCTCAACTCTTTCATGTTCTTTCAACTCACAAACTATAGCCAGTTTAGTAAAACGAGAGAAAGAGAAGTGCCAAGCAAGATAAGACTCTTATTGTTTTGATGCTATCTGACTAAAGACATTAGTTGCCGTACGATATATATCTTTTGTGTATGGGAATATATATGAAAATATATTTGTACTGCGGTTATAATGTATCAAATTGAGCTGATCCTCGCAGTATATGAAGCAACTTATGCAGCTGCAAATTGAAAGACTCAGAAAAAATTCTGAGTCTTGAACAGGATTTGAACCCGTGATATATATATAGATAACTTCACGATATCAAAACGCTTAGTTAATCTTAGTATGGCAACGATTGCTTGATGGCAATAATGACAACAACACATTTGAAAAAACGCTAGACACAAATACTAGATGGATAGGAAGAGTTGGGATAGAACTAAACACTTATGGTTGTTTGATGCTAATAGCAATTACGAAAAAGACGACCCAATGTCACCACATTTGACAAAACWCTAGACTCAAATACAAGATGGTTAGGAATAACATAGGCAACATTTATCAAGCGATTATTTTGAGACTTTTGATTTTTACCTTAGTATAGGTAGAGAGAGTAGAAAAGATAGCGAGAGAAAGCCGACGGAAGAGAGAGAGAGAGAGAGCCGGAGAGAGAGAGAGAGCGGAGTTGAAAAACTGATTGAAAACGCCATAAAGTAACCGCAGACACTCCAACCAAGACATTTGAATAGCGATAAACGAAGTAATTCGATCACCTTATAGACGCCCCAAAAAGTTTAATGCACAAAGCGAGATTTGCTAAGCAACGTAAAAGACATTGCATGCGCGTGTAGCACAGGCAGTCAAGCATAGTCATCGCCATGTGTTCGCATGTCCAATTGCTTGCCACTTCAGACTTGAAATGGCTATTCAATCGAGCCTTTTGTGAAGCTGCCTCGAATGTCATTCATACTTGAATTTGGGTTACAAGACATAGACATCGATGCAACTGTTTCTCAGTACTTTTGACTAGCACTCGAATTTGACAAAAGAACTCGCTAAAAAATCCTCCAAGTTTTTCAAACTGTTGCAAAAAAGATCCCAACATTTGCCAGCCATGTTTTTCTTAACTTTAACTGCTAGTTTTCTATCCTTTTTGTGTGTGTGTGTGTGTGTGTGTGTGTGTGTGTGTGTGTGTAAGAATAAAAAAGAGAATTTATTCAGTGATTGATCGACATTTGACAATTATTCCCAAAGCACTCTGAGTTGATCGAAATCCAAGCTCTTATTTGCCTTAAAAACATCGTATGATTTTTTCACATAAACGAAGATTAGTGGTTGCCCGGCGAAAGCGCCGAGAGAAAAAGGAACTATGAATGACCTTAACTATACCGCACGTGCATGAATGCTGCCGGCATTGTCAGGCTGTTTTTATCATGGACAGTCGAAGGCAATCAAGCTTGAATTACTAACGCGAAAACAATATCGCAAAAAAATAAGGGGATGCTTCATTCTATAAAATAACAAGTGCTTCACTAAAATACCAAAATCTAGTTGCTTTTCGCAAACTAGAATCCAGAAAACGTAATAATTCTTCTTTTTTATCGTCATCCGGCAGCTGCAAAAAGCATTTTTTTTTTTTTAATCTATTCTTTTTATGAATGGATTTTGCGCGAAATTTTAAAAAACCAGCCAGTTTAGTGACGATAAACGATAATTGAGATCTAATCTCCACTACAGAAGGCTCAAATCCTCACATACCACCAAACAAACTTTAAAATAAGAATGCCAAACAGTTTTGTCTAGCTGTAGTTGGTTCTATTCGAACCATCATAGCTTTTTATCCGAGCCGCGTTTGCTTAGCTGAGTCTAAAATTATCTTCTGTCACTAAACCGTAGGGGAAAAAATAAATTGTTTGATGTTACTGTTTACTTTTGATAAGCGCTGTAACTTATTCTTAATAATACACGAGAAGTGGTTCTTAAGATTTTACGTCTGTTTGGATTATTTGGCTTTGGAATAATTGTGCTATTCTATTAAAAATGAAATTCACTGAAAACTGTAAATGTGTAGAAAGTTAAACCCATTGCAGGAGAAACTGTTATTAATATGTGGGTATAAAAACGTACAAATAAAAGTGGAAAGGCGAAGCATTCAAGATCTCAATTAATAACTTGGTGTTTAGATACTCTTTTTGAGATGTGATTTGTTGCATGCAAGCACCGTTTGAAACACGTTTTGAATTTGACGGGCATCTGCCAAGACCTTAAACAATTGTCTTAAGTGAGCTGTTAAATGACTTAATTCACCCATGTATGACTTCTCCATGCTAAGTTTAATTTTGTAGACTTATAAATATTCCTTCTTTGTCTGAACTCTTAAGTAGCGCTGAAAGGGAAGTTAGACAATAAATGATACTCCAACGTGCTTATCAAAATTCCGCTACATCGCTCACCAATGCATTAGTTCCTGTGCCAACCGACGATCAACAATCGTGGACGTTTTTTTTACAAAGTCTTGCATTTGTTTTCTCTGCTACGAAATGTGCGAAAACGAACAAGTGCCGAGGTCGTCGCCCTGGAACAACGCAGTTGATAGCATTTTTCCAGTTAGCGAGTCTTTTCCCGATATTTTTTTAACGTAAGTACTACACTACCAATCCATTTGCTGGCTTGTCTCATCTGTAAGTGAACTTGGAATTGTACGTACATTAGCTCTTATAGAGTATTGCTTGTTTGCATGTACAAACGCGTTAGTTCAAATCCATTTTTCATACTTTCTATACTACAGGGATGAACAAGTTAAACTCGAAAACACAGGTAAAAGTTATACGTTTTCTCACGCAAACTGCAATATTTTAAAAATAGCATTGGAAATGATTTGAGGTGTTCAAAGTTAAGATGGCTCCGAAACTTAGAGCTCGGATTTCTAAAGCTATGAGCGAGATTGCAGAAACTTTAACTTTGAGATATTCGGATGGGATTTCCAAGCGAAGAAGAAGATCTTCGAGAAACTCCTCTAAGAACTTGAAAGTCAGTGGCCGAACTGTGTTGCGCAGTGGAGCTAAATCACTTATTACCAGTGGCAAGCAGGGTACTCCTTTGATTGCTATTTTTTCCTCTCAAGTTCTTTCTCAATAATTGAGGTTGATTAAGATTGATTGTAGATTTAATGAAAAGATAACAGGAATGAAAAAATGTTTTTTTTAATGTAGGCATTTTTATTTTTATTTTTCACTTGTCCTTCACAAGATTGAACGGTTGAAACAAAACCATTTATTTGAAAACAAAGATAAAAGAAAACGCAGTGAAAGAAAGAAATAGAAAAAGAAGAGATGGAATGAATGAGTGAATGAAGGAATAAAGAAAAGAAGAGAAAGAAAGAGAAGAGAAAACGAATGAGATCTAGAAAAAATGGAAGACGGTATCGTTTCTGAAGAGAATTCAAAGTTGAACCCGTTGCATGTAGAAGAATACAGAGTCCTTGATATATTTTCGTTTGTCGTAACTTTAATCATAACACAGGTGGCGTATTTAATATATATATACATTCTTTTATAACTCATACGATCAATGCAGATCAAGATAATTGAATCAAGAGAACACAAAAACATACCAAACATTTGTCAGTATGTATCACAACCAAAACTAAAGTAATTCACTTAACTCTTGGTTTCAAAAACTTCTAATTAACTGTTTAATACCTGAAATAGATAAATGTACATTAAAACGTTTGTCTATTGTATTCGGTAGGATTCTATAAGTTCTTCAATGCAAAGGTTTCTCAGTTAAAAGCGTTTCTCTCTCGTTAAACTGTTGGAGTCGAGACACGGACCAATTTGCACTCTTTTGCGTACTTCTAGTAGATATAAATTAAAAGTATGTTTTATATTCAAGCAAAGCCAGAATTAAACTCGAGTACTTTGAATAATCATAATTGAAAATATGGTTTAATTTAATTATTTCAAGGTACTTGAATATTCCCCTTTCTTTATCTCTCTATTTCTAATTAGGAATCAGAAGAATTGAAATAGGTGAAGCAACGCAGCTTAATCCAATCGACTCTTTTCAGGTCAGTGAAATTAATTAGAGGTTTCTAAAGGCGCGACGATCAATGATCATTGATCTTTAGAGCTATACAGCCAAGGTAAGCTTCAGTAGGTCACCCAACACGTGTAGATGCCCTGAGGGATTTAGTCAAAGGAGCATGAAACATTATTCAGTAGAGTCCAATTCTGAGAAAAACATCTATATATAGAATTGAAAATATTCATTTACAACCTAGCTGTTGGTTAGCTACGAAGAGAATAGAAAAGAATGTAGGGGAATGGGAAAAAAAAAGCGCAGCTTATGTGGAAAAGCAAACAAATGAATGAGAACATATTTAAAGGACAGTAAATAAAAAATAAAAAAATAAAAAATAAGAAATAAAAGATAAAAAATAAAAAGAAAGAAAGAAAGAAGTTGGCGTCAAAAAGAAGCATTGAGAAAAAGGAGTATCAAAATAACACAAATTTACTTCTAATATGAAAAATCAATGAAATTTTATTCAGTCGACGTTGTCTGAACTCAAGAGCTTGTCTAGAATATCCGACAATAGTTAATATCAAATTTCCCAATTGAAAACTCTTTAAAAACAAATTTCTAAGTTCTCATTCTATTTTTCCCTTTTAAAAGTAGAGGACGTTTCAATGTGTAATGTCTGTGGTATTGAAGAGATCCCAAGGAGATCTTAACCAAAGCGGARCCTGAGAATTTCTTCAAATAAGTATACTGTCTGAGGTTCGTTGTTGCTCTTGAAAGATCCACTCCGACGATTTTGAATATCTGCTTGCCTAAAACACGTTGCCTTTTGTTTTGAATGCCTCAGTTGAGTAGCTTTGGTTAATCAAGAATACTAGGAGCTCCTGCTTGAGCGTCGTTTGTACGAGGTCGATATGGAGAAAGAACAGTTCCGAAAGGTCACTCCCTTGATGTTGTGATGTTAACGTTATGAAAAAGTCTTGTCCATTGAGTGAGAGTCATAAAGCTAGCAGGGGGAATGGCAGGCGCGTTTTGGCGGGAAAATTGTTGCCAAATCCAAGGCATTCCATTAGTATAGCACTTACCACATACCCGTGAAAAAGTTAACTAACAAAATTGTACAAATTAGAGCAAAGGTTTGTAGGTCTACGGTCTACTGAGGCCCACTGAGGTTACTAAATTTTGGCCAAATTAGTGGTATGCACTCTATAAGCCATCGCGAGAACTTAACGTGCCATTTCATTTGCAAAGGAGTTTGCTATTATAATATGGAATAACTTTCCTCTCCCCAAAACTAGCTATATATTGAAATATAAAATTATTATAAAGACGATTTTAAGATTTTTTTTTTTCATTTTGTAGGCACAAGATTTTCCATCGTTTCCCAACATTGATGATCAAGAATATCCAGAACCACTGACTCCCGAGAGTCCAAGGTTCCCACAGGAACTCAATTGCTTGATGCCATCAGCGCCTCCCTCTCACATTGTTTCACCATCAAGGTATAGTCCCTAGGTGTACCGTAGACCCTATCTTATATAGTACCATTGGCTCCCGAGAGTCCAAGGTTCCCAAAGGAACTCATGCCATCAGCGCCTCCCTCTCACATTGTTTCACCATCAAGGTATAGTCCCTAGGTGTACCTAGACCCTATCTTATATAGTACCATTGACTCCAGAGAGTCCAAGGTTCCCAAAGGAACTCATGCCATCAGCGCTTCCCTCTTATATTGTGTCCCCAACAAGGTATAGTCCCAAGGTGTACCTCAGATCATATCGAATATAGTATCATTGACTCCAGAGCGTCCAAGGTTCCCATGCAAGGTAACTGAATTGCTCGATACAATCAGCCCCTCCCTCTCAGATTGTGTCACCATCAAGGTATTCTTGGAGTGCACCTAAATGACTCAAAATCTCGTCCGTTGATCTAACCGAAGAAGCTAAAGAGGAATGCTTTTTTTTCGTCAGGCAACATGGCGGCTACGACATAACATGCACTCAAAGAATAGTCCCTAGCTGTAGCTGTAGCGCAGAGCGTATCGTATATAGCTGTACCATGTAGTGGCTCCAAATGACAATGGCTAAATTTCTAGTTTGTGTATTTTTGTGATTTTTTTTACGAATAAATTTAAAAAAAGATATAGCATTCCATAGTATCATATCCTTGTTCGTTTTGTGACATCATTTTTGTACTGATTGTCTTACAGCGCAGAAATAAATGGAGAATACAATTTCTGCTTGGCTCTCGAGACCCAAGTAAGTGAAATGATTGATATACATACAGTGATAGGGATATTGTATCGTTACTAAACAACCTTTGAAATACAAGCCTTTGATCCAACTATACGCCACTTCCAGTGTCATGACAAAAATAGCACAAAAGAGGCTTTGCACCATCGAGTGACGTCAGCCATGTTAGATGACAGGAACAATACAATCGTTTTATATCGAGCGGCGAGGTAAATATTCTCCATATTCACTGAGCCTGAGGCGAATAATTGTTTTAGCATATACCAACTTGTGTACAGAGTAACTTATTTTTACATACAATAATTCAATAAAAACAAACAAACAGAAACTTTTAGTTTGCGTGACCAATTCACGCAAAACTTTTAGCAAAACTTTTAGGCCATACTTCGTTACCTTTTTAGTATTGATAGGAATGACATTTACTTTCATTTTTTCAATTTCCTCATCGGCGAAATTGTAGCAAAACGATTGCCGGCAGATGCCACTTTGTTGCCGACTCAATATTCCGAGATTCAGAGGTGAATATCGTACAATATTCACCTCCAATTAACCAATGAGCGCGCACGTTCTTAGGAAGTACACAAGTTGGTATATGCTAATAGAAATTATTCAATTCCCGAGAGCAAAGTGATTTTATTGTTCAGCCATCTGACCTCAGGCAGCTGTATTATAGGCGTTGGCGCGTGATGTAGCAAAACCTCTATAACAGCTGCCCTCACAGTACAAAAGAGGTCCAGTTCAAGGACAAATCGCACGGACGGACATAATTATAATTTGAGGTGGGGATGGAGTAGAGTAGGGGATCGACAAGTGTAGCTAACCATAAATCTTATTTTTGTTTGTTTTATTACAGCCGAAAAAAGTAGCAAACCCTGACTGGATTGTAAGTGTTTAGCTTAATCATTAATTACATCTCTGTTGGTACTTGAACATTTACCTTTCTAGCTACCGCGCGCACTGTTTAAGGTAGCACTAAACCTCAATTTAATCTTGTTAAGGATAACGTTGCTAAGCAACTAATTAGAAAGTTAGACTTTAAAAGTTGTTTATCATAAAGTTTCTCATAAATATCGCAATCCATGGGAAAATGTCACGTGATCATGAGTGAATAATCAAGTGAGGATGAGGATACGACATGGAGAAATGGTCACGTGGATGTATGGTCACGTGGCTGTATGATCACGTGATCCCTTATGATCTGGTGATGGTTTATTGACTAATGCTTTTGGTACTTTTTATGCTTAGTATTCAAACATCCAGAACAAGCTGTATATCAAACCACAGACACCTTGTCCCATGAAGTTTTCGCTGACAGGTGAGATATTGATTTGAATAAGACCTCTCGTGAGAAAACACATGAAAACACAACTATTAAACAATCAACTGTCATACACACCTAATTGAAAAAACGTTGTCGGGTTCGAGAAGGTCATATCATCGAAGCTAAGATCGAAAAGGATTTTGGTTACTCCGAAATGCCAAATGTTGACCTAGATTGACATGCCAAAGCCATTCTCCGAAGATTTATGCTGGACAGTTGTTTGGCTGCGGTATTTTGTCTTTCCATGCTCCCCTTCGGTCTTAGCTTTGATGATATAACCTTTTTTAAACCCGACAACGTTTTTTCAATTAGGTGTATGTTGGTTGAACGTTTCATCCTGAAGCATCCCAGTTTTACAAGGATACTTTATAGAAATTCAATGTATTAAAGCTGTACTATTTTTGTATTCTTAGGGTCACCTCCACCGCGCACATATATTAGGGCAATGCCCATATTTAAATTACCTGAACACGCTAAAGATATCGTCCGATGCTGTCCCAACCATACATTAATGGACCAGATTACCAGAGGTAAAAACAATATATAAAATCATATCCCAGAAGAAGAAAAAAAACAAAACAAAACAAAGAAAAAAACAAAAACAAAAACAAAAACAAAAACAAAACAAAAAACAAACAAACAAAAAAACACATCTTCATTTGGATCTGTCTTTACACTAATTTAAAATCTGTCTGTAAAAAATGCTTAACATTTTTAGCCACCTTCACTTGGCTTCTAAAGAGTCCAGCCCATGAATTCAAGAGACAATTTAGACGATGGTTAATGTTAAATGACTTTGCTTCTAAGTATATTTTGTTTTCTTGTCAGATAATCCAGCGTCAGGTCACTTTATTCGCTCGGATAATCCTCAAGCAGAGTACCAACAGTGCGTCCATTCTGGACGTCAATCTGTCAGGATTCCCTTCAAAGTTAATGGTACGACCCCTGTCACTGACTGCCAAAAATACATGCCAATAATTCATTCTTCCTAAAACATTAATYGATATTTTTATTGATTTTAGTGGGTGTTGCTGGGAACGAGGAGGTAACAGTTCATGAGCTGTTCTCATTCGTCTGCAATAACTCATGTGGGGGTCTGAACAGACGGGCAATACAGGTCGCGTTCACCTTGGAGACTGGGTAAGACTATAGTTTCGTATGTATTCACTTTTTTTTTAGAGCGGATTGAAGCTGCGCATGCGTCAATTGTTGTTTCCAGAGCGCGCTTTGAAGCTGCTCATTCGTCAGCTTTCACTTCCAGATCGACTTGTGCATGCTATAGCCGTCTCTTTAAGTGAAGTTTTAAAAGACGAATAGAGACTAAATCACTTCTGAAAGTTTTACTTTTAATTTACAGAGAGTCAAATGAAATGCTTGGACGTTGCTCAATTGAAGTACGTGTCTGCGCATGCCCAGGAAGAGATTCTAAGCAAGATAACGAGGCAGTCAGCAGACCAAGCAGAAAAAAACGAAAACTGACAGGTAGGAGTAATTGTTGCGCATTGGCTCTGAACTCATTACTTCCACTAGTTATATTTAGCAACTAGACCTCTCGCTCGCCATTATTGTCAAGGGGTTCGGATGGAATCGATAAAATAATTGAATGGGCCATTCTTAAAATTGTCTTCAAGCCCAGGATAACATGGAAGTACAAAAGACATGCCACAAATTCCATCGAGAGCAATTGTAATTTCTTTCGTATTTTCATGTTAGCATCGCATTCGCGACTTTTTTGAGAAAGCTCCATTGTTTAACGGAAAGAATGGCTCTCCCCATCGCTTATATTAATAAAGTTTTTTACGCGCTCGCTCGTCCCCGCTCCCAATCCTATCTATCGATTTAAGATAGAATAGAATAGAATAGAATAAATCATTTATATGAGATGTTGGAAATGTGATGGAAGTCGCGACTTCCAAGGTATTTCCATAGTGTTGAAGTAATTTCCATGATATTTCCATCATTTCCCTACTTCCACAGCATGGAAAAATGTTGAAAGTGGTGACTTCCATTATATTTCCATACCATGGAAATCACGCGTGAAAAATGACGACGCGTACACTTTCATGACTTCCATGGTATGGAAGTGCTGACTGCCATTATATTTCCATTGCTTTTTAACTTCCATTGTATGGAAATATGTTGGAAGTCGAAACTTCCAACATATTTCCAACATCTCAAATCGATAGATTTTTCCAGTGTCTCGGTACACTAGAGATAATACGGCAAATCATTTTTTTATCTGGTCAGCAGCGGATGTGTCAAGCTCTACGCCACTACCAGCCTTTCCACCAATAGACCTCACCCCAACTCCCTCTCGTTCAGCAGAAGACAACACTGTTTATAATCTAAAGGTATCAACTTAAATCCTTCTTGAAAAAATCTTTAAAATACTTTATTGGCGTTCAATAAATCAAGGTTGTGGGTATGAATTGGCACTTGAGTAGCAGCCATAAAAGGGTTTCACATTTCACAGGCATTTTGGGGACACGAACACTGCAATGATTTTGTAAGAAAAGAGATTCAATTTAGTTGGAAGATCTCTACTTTTTGTCCAACAACATGGCCGCTGTAAAACATTTGTATAGGAATGGGCCGAAGGCTAAGTGTAAAAGCCTTTCCATTTTATTTTGTCAGCAAAAACTTTAAAAAGTTATCGCGATAACAATTTCGCGCTAATGTCCTTGAATCCACACACTCGTCCCTAAGAATATTATTGCTGTGGTTTAAGGGGACTAAGAGAATAATAAATGAAATTTGGCAAGGAATTAATTTAAGATGAGGTAGAAATGGTACCTTAACTTCAGTCCAAATACTTTCTTCTTTCTTAGCCTTCTCCGCAGGCTACTTCATATATTTTCCTTGCGTTGGGATTTCTGTGTTTTGTCCTCGCCACAGGAAACCCAAGAAGCAAAAAGAGCCAAGGAGATGCCTGCGAAGCTAAGGAGGCTACTCTTTTCTATGTTCAGCGTATTTTAACTTCTGTTCTTCTTCTTATTACTTTTCAGGTTTGCGGATACGTAAATTATCTAATCTTGAGAAAAATAGCTTTTGCTCTGGAATTCTTTGCGAATATGAAGTCAAGATTGTAAGTTGAATCAGTTAATTTTCATAAATTCAATTTACAACGCTTAATAGACCTTCCTTACTAAATTTGAAAAATAAAATGCAAGATCCACCCCCTATACTGCACTGTAGTGTAATGATTGAATAGGAATTATAAAATAACTGTTATGAATGTCGCGTTCTGATTGGTTGGGAGCGCGTGCTTTATTAGAGCACATTGGACACGCGGGCACTTTCCATTGCGTTATTCCTATCTATTATTGTAATTTGTATTTTATAAAAGAAATAAAAAAACTTGCTTGCTGTGCTGTATACATATATTACCTAACACTTGTGCCATAAACGAACTGTTAGTCATTTATTGTCCTCAGCTCAACCTTGCCGTGTGAAGATCCAGAGTTCACAGAATTCTTTGGCGATGGCTCCGCTGAACCAGTAAGTGTTGCTTAGAAAGTAGCTTGCATGAAGACAGAAACTCCTCAGCAAAGACAGTGAGCAGAGGGATGAATGAAAGACTGAATAAACACGGGGTAGAGTCACGATATTCTTTCCTTTTAAGAGAAAAAAGGAGGGTTTTTAATTTTTCTATGACAGCCCATGTAGATTCCTCCGGCACTACACAAATTAAAAAAATAATACTCCCTAGATAGCACTTAGTATAATAACGTAATATATTAAAACATTTGTCTTGTCTTTTCGTTTTATTTACAGCGAGAATGTAATGGTTGTGATACTAACACTCCTCTTCCAAGGTAAGCACACATGAGCAATCAGCTTAGAACGCTTAGAACGCTTAGAACGCTTAGAACTTAGAACGCGTGCAGAAAAGCAAACACGATCATATGAATGATTCTAAAAACAGCATGAAAGATCATCAAAATAGCAAAGTACTAATATCGCATGATTCCAACAATGCTTAGTTACCGTTGCTATGTCAGAAATACCCCAAAATTTAAGCAGAACAATTTATCTTCTCATTGAAGGGCTAAGAATAAAATTACGACATCCACTTTGATTTGTACCCCAACTTCGGTGTAAAATATGGCGGCTTTTCTGAAAACGCGCCCCAAATGGAAACAAGTGACCATGAGTGGTTAATCCATCAGTAACACAGGTGATATAACGAGTTGGCTGGGGATACGATGGTGATATTCTTGCTCGTTTTCGGGGCTGGCCAATAGAGGCTTTGCATCATCCTTTAGGCCATACGACCTTTCTGATCGTCTGTACTCCATCCCGAATGCACGACGCACTAGAATATATATGAATTTTATACTTTCGTCACGCAGTATTGTTTTACCAATTTCAGACCCATCCCTCAATCATCACCGGTCATGAATGGTCAGCAGTCTCTACCAAGCTGCGCAGCCTCACATGCCCCAGACAACTGGTACCAGTCTCCTCAACAAGAGCCTTCGGTCAACGGTCGCTCAACAGCAACTCCTTATATGGGCTGCTATACTTATAGGAGAATTACTTTGTCTGTTGAATATTCTGAAACAGAATCGATGTGCGCAAGTGAGAACAAAGATTTGATGGAAAGAAAAGATTTAGGTGTAAGGATACAGGGTTGATTGAAAGGGAAGCCTTAAAAAGAGAAGTGGCAGAGAGTGAGTTGGAAAAAATATAAGGTTTCACGAAAATAATGACAAAAAAAAAAAAACAAAAAA